TTTCTCTTCACATGGCATTCCTTTGAAAAAATAACAGTCATATAGGGGACACCTATTCCAGTATACCTCATATTACCTAACTACATTTACAGCATATTAACAGCAACCATATTTCAAAATGGGATCCCATTCTGAGGCACTGGAGGTTGAACTTCAAAATATTAATTTGAGCCCTGGTTAGAGTTGCTCAGTTGTTAGAATGTCAACCTGTGCACCAAAGGGTCATAAGTTTGATTACTAGTCAAGGGCACGTATCTAGGTTGCAGGTCCAATACCCACTCCTAGTCCTATCATGTGTGAGAGGCCACCAATTGATGTGTTTCTTGCACATCAGTATTTTGGTCTCTCTCTCTCTCTGCCACACTCTCTCTCTGCCACTCTCTCTCCCACAGTCCCTCCCTTCTGCTCTCTTTAAAAATCAATGCAAAAAATATCCTCATGTAAATATTAACAAATATATATATATTTATACCAGTGCCCTGGTGCATGGATTCATGCACATTGAAAGGAAATTAATTAGAAGGTGTCTGGTGGGGTGGCACTGGGCGAGATGGGCCAGACATGCCCTGGAGCAAACCTCCAGGGATTCCTTCCTGGCCAGCCACACCTGGGGCCGTGCAGTTGCTCAAAGGGAGTGAGCAGGGTCCCTCCAGCAGATGGGGTCCCTCTGCCTGGCTTGTGGGGATTGGGCCAAAACCATATCTCCAAGGGGTTCTGTATTGCCAGAGGGCAGTTCTCAAGTGATACACCCCCAGAATTGGGCTCCCTCCTCTATGGTTCCAGGGTGCATCACGGGAGAACTGTAGCTGCCAAGTCATAAAGTGTTAAGGGTCTTCCCCCTTTGTTTTTTTGTTTGTTTGTTTTGTGTTTTGTTTTGTTTTAAAAATATATTTTATTGATTTTTTACAGAGGAAGAGAGAGGGATAGAGAGTTAGAAACATCAATGAGAATTATCAATCAGCTGCCTCTTGCACACAGCCTACTGGGGATGTGCCCTCAACCAAGGTACATGCCCTTGATGGGAATTGAACCCGGACCTTTCAGTCCACAGGCTGACGCTCTATCCACTGAGCCAAACCAGTTTCAGCAAGGGTCTTCCCCCTTTGTGGATCAGTGCAGGTGATAGCTACCAGTTGGACAGTCAAACAGTTGCTTAGCCATATATTAATTTGATGAGGGAGAGAAGACCCAATCAAATCCAAAACAATATTTCAAAGAAATAAAAGATGAGCACAAAGAGTTATCTCTAAAATGATGTTCATTGCAATGTTGTTTATAACACGGAAACATATTATACCTGCCCAATATATCTGGGCAATCCTTAAAAAAACATATATTCAGAGAATACATAATACCATGGGAAGGTATTAATAATGAAATATTAAGTTAAATATGCAGTCATTTTGTATTATCAGTGTATAAGGTTATACACCAAAATATAAGTGGTTACTTTCTTTGAGATCTGGCCTGAGAAACAAAGGTCTCAGCTCTGGCTTTCCTGACAGGCCATCCAGATTTTGATCGGCCTGATACACATTGGCCTGGGCATCATCCTAGGGACGCTCCTGCCTGGGACCTTCGTATCTGTCTCATTCTATGGAGGCTATCCCTTCTGGGGAGGCATCTTGGTAAGTAATGTCAGTTGCCCTGCAAGTGAGTTTCAGAAAGTGCCAACATACTCAGTTCCACCTCGGCAAGTGGTGTATTTTGCTGCAGAAAATTTCCAGCCAATAGAGTACATGGGCTTCTTTCTAATTAGCCCACCTCAACAGAGCATGTGGGCTGTGAAACCAGCTCAGGCCTCATTCACAAAAATATTAGCCCTCTTGGGAAGCCACGGACAGGGTGGCAAAACAACAGATATTTATTAATTCATAGTTCTGGATGCTGGAAGTCCAAGATCAAGGTGTGGGCAGGGTTTTTTTCTCCCAAGGCCTTTCTCCTTGATGGGTAGATGACTGTCTTCTTCCTTGTGTTTTCACCTGGTTTACCCTTTGTGTGTGTCTGTATCCTCATATCTCTTCTTATAAGTACACCGATTATAATATTGGATTAGGGCCCGCCCATATGACCTCATTTAACTTTAATCCCTTTTTTAAAGGCCCTATTTTCAAATATAGATGCTCTTCAGCTTATGATGGAATTATATTTCAATAACCCATCATATATTGAAAATATCCCGAGTCTGCCCTAGCTGGTTTGGTTCAGTGGATAGAGTTTCGGCCTGCTGACTTAAAGGTCTCAGATTCAATTCTGGTCAAGGACATGTTGCCTGGGTTGAGGGCTCGATCCCCAAGGTGGGGCATGCAGGAAGCAGCCAATCAATGATTCTCTCTCATCACTGGTGTTTCTATCTCTCTCTCCCTCTCCCTTTCTTTCTATAATTAGTAAAAATATATTTTAAGAAAAGTGCATTAAATACTTCACTACAGAGAATGGGTGGTTTATCCTCATGTTTGCATGGCTGACAGGGAGCTCAGGCTGGCTGCTTCTGTCCAGCATTACCAGAGAGTACCTTACCAATGTTGCTCACCTGGGAAAGACAAAAGTTCAAAAACCAAAGTACAGTTTCTACTGAAGGCATATGGCTTTCACACAATTGTAAAGTCAAAAAAATCAGAAGTCCAGCTATAGTGAATCTGGAATAAAACTATACAGTCACATTTGGAGGTCCTGGGGGTTTGGACTTCAAAAGATGAATTATGAAGAGATAAAATCCAGGTAATAACAAGTGACAGCCTGCAAGGTGCCATTGCCCCTGAGTGGGCAGCTTTCTAATTAGCCTGCCTCAGAGGTAAAGAAACCTTTTCATAGTTCTTTAGCCCAGTGCCCACACGTTGTTCAAATCAGGCCCACAGCTGGAGCTCCAGGAGAAAAACATTTCCACCAGGGGTTAAGAGTGGCTGCCCAGGCACAGAACAGTCATGAAGCAGTAGGGACTTAATCATTCTGGAGATCCCTAATGGGCCCAGATTCCACCATTTTGCAAAATATTTGGTATATTACATGTTTTTGTGTTTGTTTGTTTGTTTTTTTCTGGAAAAGCCCACCATTTTTATCACATTCTCAGGGTGACCTAGAACCCTATAAAAGGTTAAGAACAACAGATCTGTTCTCTTCTCAAATGAATTGCCTTTATGATCCTTTTCCATTTTCCTTAGTGTCTTCCCTCCTATACACACACACACACACACTCCAATCCCTTTCTCACCAACCATCTCCTTTTCTCCTTGCTATAACAGTTTTTCTCTCAATTCACATATCTATAACCCAACGCAACTTTTCTCACAAATAGAAAAACTCCAGAGTAACCTGGACATCAACCAAGTCACCATATACAATGCAATTTAAACAAATAGCCTAGAGTTGTTCCCCAACCTCATACACACAGCATCTGCAAAATGGCAGGGCTTAGATTCTGGGGAGCATTTTTGTCTGAGCACCTGCTCTCTCTTGTTCCCATTTGAGTCTCATCCTCTGAGGCCTAAATCCTCTCTCGGTTCTGCACAGACCCAGACTTGGAACTCAGCCAACCACAGACACCTGTGTGTATAACAGATTTCTGTGAAGTTTGGGGAAATGGAGAAAACACAGTCACAAAACAGTTCCTATTGAGTGTTAGATTCTCCTAAGACATCTCAAAGTCCTTGCTGGCCATCTAACCTTCCACCAGGCTGCTCAGGTCCCATCAGTCCTCATGACTTCATCCTCCCTTTTTACTACAGGGCACTTTTGCTCTTTGTTGCCTTCTTAACTTCAGGACTATCTATTTCCTAAAGGTCATATGATCCTCCTCCAAACCAAAGGCCCTCTCCTTAGGCACCTCAAAGGGACCAGCAGGGACACCAGAAGTCCAGCCTACTGTTTCCTTCCTTACTCATCAAATCTGTAGAAATATTATAGAAGGACAGGAGATTGGGACTAATTTTCTCACTTAAAAGAAAAATGTCATTCCTCTTAGAAGGCACAGGTGGCTAGAGTAAGTTTTCATCAGCTGCTAAGATATTTGCTGCTAGTATTAGTGGAGAGAAATGGTATGCCCATGCATAAGGTGCATAAAGGAAATGAATGCAATACAATTATGGTAATCAGTCATTAGCAAACATTCTAGTTTGCTATTAATAATTATGTATAATAAAATATAAAAATTAAGTTACAAAAATTTTATTAAAATGGTTCTTACATACCATTATATTGTCTGGGCCACAAAAGTATTCATTGTGCTGAAACCGGTTTGGCTCAGTGGATAGAGCATCTGCCTGAGGACTGAAAGGTCCCAAGTTCGATTCCGGTCAAGGGCATGTACCTTGGTTGTGGGTACATCCCCAGTTGGGGCTGTGCAAGAGGCAGCTGATCAATGATTCTCTCTCATCAATGTTTCAAACTCTCTATCCCTCTCTCTTCCTCTCTGTAAAAAGTCAATAAAATATATATATTTAAAAAAAGTATTCATTGTGAGCCTCATGCGGCCCATGGGCTGTGAGTTTGACATGCTTGATGTATAGGATCTATTCTGTACAGGATCTAAATGTTAGATGCAAGCAACAAATTATCTCATGATAATAACACTTAAGAAGATACATAGTTTTTCCCATTTTTTGAAGAGGAACTATACACTTAGAGAAATTAATAGCTTACCCAAGATCACATGAGTTTCAAGTTAGAGTTTAAAAACTGGTATACTGGATTCTAAAATATATATTTATCCCAATTCACTGCCCTGTCTAGTGGTACAAAATAGCCCTTTCTCCCTTCTTTCCTTTCTTTTTCCCTTCCTTCCTTCCTTCCTTCCTTCCTTCCTTCCTTCCTTCCTTCCTTCCTTCCTTCCTTCCTTCCCTCCTTTATTAATTAATTAGTTTATTTTTCCCAAGTTGAGTAAGAGATCCCAGCAGAGGATCCTAGCATGTGAGTGAGAATACGTATGTGACCAGAAGCATGGACACCTGAAGGTAGGGCCCTGACCTCTGACCTCTTTATAAACTCCCTCCCTTCTGTGCTAGTTCATCATTTCAGGATCCCTGTCAGTGGCATCAGAAGAGCTACCAAGATCTTCTTGTCTGGTAAGTCACATCTTGAGACAGGCTCTCTGAATCGTGGACTCTTAGGAGAGACACACAACAAGGGAAAGAAGGTCACACACAATGCCTCCTTCATCCTTGCACCTACTTATAACCAGACACAGGGCACTGAATGCATGTTCACTCGTACTCACTTAACAAGACCACATGAACCTGAACAGAGTCACAAATGGGAAAGAGTCCAGAAGATTCGGTGGAAGGAAGGGCAGCTTCAGGGTGTGGAAAGACAGATAATAACTTTAACTAAGAGGACCTTATAAGAGGAGGCAAAAAACTACCTAAGGTGCATGGCTTCCCTACAGCAGAGCACACACTGATTGCCTGCAGCACACAGAGCCCAGTGCCAGACATTTCTACAGGGAAGCCAGGGGAGGCTCAGGCAAAGGAATCTTTCCAAACAAGTTCTGTGAATTAACATGGGCAAGGCTTTGTGGTCCCCAAGCACAGGACCAAGAAAGTACCTTTGTTTCTCTCACACTCAGGTTATCTGGGGCATGGGGCCCCAAACTGAACCAGTCCCACACCAGATAAGATCTATTTTAAAATCCCTACAGGGCATGGTTCTCTGCACAAAGACCAATTCTTGGCATGGCTCTCTGCACAAAGACCAGAATCATGGAGCATCAGAACCTGTCACATACTAGAACACTCGGGCTGAATCTTTGGGCCATTTCCTATGAGATAAACGAATCAGGTGTTTCCTAAACATTATTCACGAGATACTTATCCTACGAGATACTTTGTGAAGATGGTTAGATAAACTTGGGAGCGATTTCTATTTAGTAGGCTCCTCTCTAGGGGATCCATAATCCTTGTTAAAAACTGAAAAATCCTGCACAAAAGACCTATTTAACTTTGTTCAACCCAGATGTTTTCAAAGTTAATTTACCACCAGACCTATCTTGCACAGGATATCTCCTTACTTGCCTCAAATCTAGGGTTCCATGAGTTCATGTTATGAAGCACTTGTTTTCCTCTCTCATACTGTCCCTCTGTGTCTTCTTCAGCTGAAAGACAGCATGGGCCTGAGTATCACCAGTGCAGTCTGCTCTGTGGTTGGAATCCTGCTCCTCATCACAGATATGGTTATCAACTCCCTATTTATCCACAATAGCTCCAATGGTATGGTAAGTATCCCTATAGACCACATGTGTCAAACACAAGGCCCGCGGGCCAAATCCGTCCCACCAGGCCTTGCAATGTGGCCCGCACCGCGCTGTCATCACTGCACTCTGCTGCGTTTCCATCACAATGACAGTTTATGACTGTTCAGTAAACCATTCAGCCCGCGATTTAGGCTGGATTTTAGATTTTGGTCCCTTCTCTGATTCAGTTCGACACCCCTACTATAGACCAATGCTCCTCTGAGCTTCACCTGAGCTATCTTTAGGAAATCATTGGGAAAGGACTGACCCTACCAAGCTTCATCACCAAACACCAAAGAAAACAGAGGTGTTCTCAGAATCAGAACAGAGTTTCAGGTCCCGTACCTATAGCTCTATTGCTGTTACTCTAAGCATGTGACTTTCCTTAGTATCACTTTGCATGCTTATAAAACTACCTACCTTTTGATATTGTTCAGAAAATTAGATGAAGTTATACAGATAATACACTGGTATCCACCAACCTGTACATTTACTCACATGCTCACCTTCCTGCCCATCTTCATTGTCAAAGAGGTCTGCCTAGGTGTTCAGAAGAAGACGAGAGTGAACATTTAGGTTTTGCAGGCCATCTGGTATCTGTTACAAGTACTCAACCAAGTGTGAAAGCAGCCATAGAAATGCATAGATGAATGAGCCATCCCATGCTATAGACCAGTGCTATAAAGTAGAAATGTAATGTAATCCTGGTATGCACCTTAAGTTTTTCTAGTCTCTATTAGAAAGTGAAACAATAGCAGGTGAAGTTAATCTTAATAATACATTTATTTGACCCAATAAATCCAAAATGTCACTTCATTATGTAATATGTATTAAAAACTATCAATTCAATATTTTGCATTTTGACGGCCACATCTTTGAAATCAGTGTGCATTTTACACTTACAACACATCTCAAATCCTAGGGATCCACTTGGTTACCTGATGGGAAATTGAAGCTATAGATGAGTCTTCATGTAAAACCAATGTCTCCTCTGCACAGCAGCCCTGTACTCTCTGCCCAAGGTTATTACTCCATGTGTTTCTCTCTTCTCCCTGATCCCCACCTCCCTTCTACATCACTGTGGGCTATTTGCTACAGCTTTTCTATCAGCCTCTGAATATACTTTTGTTTATTTCATCTTAAAAAAAACAAAACAAACTTCTTTCAGTTATTTTAGCTACCACTCCATTTCTCTGGCCCTCTCTGTAGAAAAGTCCTTAAAACAATTGTCTACCTCACAGTTTCCAATTCTCTTCTCTCATAATCTCATAAATCCACTAGAAGCATACTTTCAGCCTCACTTCTCCAAAAGCCTCCTCTGCTCAAAGTCCTCAATCATTCCTCCTCTTTGGTGGACTCCCAGTGGCTCCCAGGCCCTGCTGCTGGTGTTCCTCACCCACACTAGTTGCTCTCTTCTCTGTCCCTTTTGCTGGTTCTTATTCCCCTTCCCCCCACCCTCCAATCCCAATTTCTTATTCCTCAGTCCTCAATCTTCTTCTGTTTCTCTCTCTACTCCCTGCCTTGGCAGTGTCATGACTTGAAACACTTTCTCTATGACCATGACTCCAAATGCATAACTTCCTGCAAAACATCTCTCACAAACTTCAGTCTCTTGTATTCAGTTGTCCACTCACCATCTTAAAATGAACCTACCCAAATCTCATCTTCAGATTTTACTTCCCAAACCTTCTCACAGGTTGCCTTTTCCAGGTTGATGGCAACTGCATCCATGCATTTGCTCAGGACAAGAACCCAGTGAAATCATGTTTCCTGCACCTCCCAGGAAACTCCTCAGGGAATCCTGCTGGTTTCACCTTTGAGCATCCAGAACCCAGTCATTTTCACCAGTTTCTCAATCACCACACTGACTGGAGCCACCACCACCTGACTTCTAATCTCAGTTCTGCCAGTGTCTGATAGGAACTTTTCCGTTCTGGCCACCCACACACTTCCCGGCTTCAGTCCAGAAGAAAGAGGGCTAGACTTTGACATAGTTTAGCAAAAGAAGAGCCAAGGGAGGGGGTGCTCCAAGGTCTCAATAAGCTTGAATTATTTCTCATCAAACAATAACTATTTAACCTGCTTGAGAAACCCTTCTTCCTCATCAAAGGGTGTTTTTTATTTTACTTTTCAGTTACAGTTGACATACAATACTATATTACTTTCAGATGTTCAGCATAAGGATATACGGGTAACTATATACTCTATACTGTACTTTAATTTACTTTCCTGTGACTATTTTTATAATTCCCTATTTGTACTTATTAATAACCTTCACGTTTTTCATCTATCCTCCAGCCTCCTTCCTGTTATTACAAAGCTTTCTTTATAAAACAATGATTTTGTTAAAAAACAGATTTGAAAAGGACCAGCATTATTTGTAGAGGCTCCTTCTCCCCATGCTTCTGTGATTCCTTGACTAAGGCATCACCATACTGCAGTTCCCTTTGCCTAGACACCAACCCCACATTATGGGATCTTATATTGAGAATGAATATGTGTCCCCTTGTGCCCCCAAGCACTATTTTTGGCTCTTTTATAGCTCTTACCAAGTCTTATTTAAATTATGACTTTCTCCATCTGTATCTGCCTCCCTCACTAGACTTTGCTTCTTGGGATGCTTTCTTAGCCATTCGGAGCAATCAGATGTTTAATAAGTGCTTGATAAATTGAGAGGGAAGAGAAGGAAAGTGCTAAGGAGGAGTCTCTCCATGAGAGAGGATTCTCTAAGCAGCCAGCTATCACCAAAGCCATTTTAAAAAATCATAATTGATCAACATTTGCTTGATACCTGCCATGCACTTTCACTTTCATATTTATTCTCTCCTGTAATTGGAATCCAAATGGTTTTGAGATCACTCATCTCTTGTCCTTTCATGATTAAGGTAGATTCTACCTAAACTCTCTCCCTAGATACAGTGGGAAATCCCATTTTTCCTGAGCATTGTTGTAGAACAGAAAGGGAAGGGCTTAGATGACTCCGGGTACTCATGTGAAATCGACTACTGCTGAATTAGTTCTATTTAAGGATCCTTTTACTGACCATTTTTCTTAAGTTAAAGACAGTTCCAATTGTTTCTCTCCACAAAATGCCACGGTCACAAGCCAGGAAATTTGTTTCAGTAGCTGACTTTCTCTAAAGGTTTGGAGAGGTGGTGGAGGTAACCATTGGAGGTTAGACATTCCAGCTTTGTAATGTCTTATTTTCTCATAAGATGCCTTTCTTTACAGACTCCACCTTCCCTTCATGTTTCTCAGTCCCATCTTTCTCCTCTATTCATCTTCCTTTGCTCTTTCTGAGGACTATCCATTCTCCCAAATTTCTCTTTGCTTCCTACACAGAACAGTTTCACTCATTCACTTTCTCACTCCAAACCCCATCCTTAGGTTTCGTGCCCTGTGCCAGAAACAAGTCATCAAGGTGTTTCCCTAAACAATGACTATTCTTTTCCCTAGAACACAGGTAACAGTGTTAAAATAATTAATTTACAAACACACTTGACCCTCACAAAACCTGGTGAAATATTTTCTCCACAAGGCTGAGACCAGGTTGGAGGACTTCTTCAAAGCCCTAGCCAAGGTCCATTGCAGAGCCATGCTTTGAGCCAGACCTCACGCTCCCAGAACACCACTCATGACCTCCATGATCCTTTTGGTTCCAGGTCTCTGGAATAGCTATTTCTGCCATGCTGTTCATCTTTAGTCTCCTGGAGTTCTGCATTGCCTGCACATCTGCTCACTTTGGCTGCAAACTGGTCCGCGATTCATACAACAACGTGAGTGTGTAGGATCCTCAGTGGGTGGAAAGATGCCCCAAAGAGTATGAGGAATAATAATGTCATCTGGCTTTCCCTTCCCATGCAGGTGCACAGGGAATCTCAGAATGTGTAAAGGCCTTTGGGCATACATACTTTGCATTAACACACCTCCTTTGCCTGTCTTTTTCAGGACGCTGTGGTCTTCCAAACCGTCTATGTGACAAACCTATTGGCCAATCCAGAACCAATGAACTCCCCACCATCTTATTCCAGTGACATCCAGGACTACAAATAAGCCAAAGGTTCCAGAAGCATGGTTCTCTGGAACCAAAATAGAACTCCCTCTGGGCTTCTGAAACTCAGCTTCTTCCTTCTCTGACAAACTAAAGAATATGTCCTGTCCAACTGTCGGCACCCTGTACTTCATTCACCTTAGCTTGGTTAATCATGCTGTTTCTCCATTTAAAAGGAATAAAAGGAGACAGGACTTTAAAGTGAATTTGAGTAAAGAGGTCCTTCCTAGGATATCCACCTGTGGGACATCCAGTGCACTGATGAGCTTATGAGCTAATGAAACAAATGTCTAGACAATCCAAGCTTCATTCTCCCAATCATTCACTCACGGACTAAAAATGCACTGAGTATTTTATATGTTCAAAACTATTTATGGCAGAAAGAGGGTAAACATGGAACATGCAATTCCTTGACTTCAAGCAACTTCTGCCTCACAAGAGAAGAACATGCAAGCAATTTTCTTTAAAGTAAGGCAGAATATGGGGATAGTGCAGAGAGATCAGAGAGGGAAATAATTTATTCTAACAGTGATGGGGAAGCAGAGGACAAGTCTAGTTAAGGAAGCAGCATTTGTTGGAAAATTAAAGGAGGTAGTGTGGTTTTTATATTGTTGTTTTTTAGTCCAATAGCAAACCACAATTTTGAGAGGACCTTTGGAGAGAGTCATCCACTAAAATTATTAGTTTTTTTTTATATGCTGTTACCTCCAATGCAATATTACTCAAGAATAAACATTGTCTTAAAATATCTTCCAAAGTTATGAGGCTACTGTATCTTTATTAAATAAAGGATAGTGACTCATTTAAAGAGAAATGGTTATGTATTCTAAATTTGCACACTTTCATTTACATATTGTTATCCATGATGGCCAATTGGCTCCCTAAATGTTATGTGCCAGCAAATTATAGAAATAATCTTTCAATTCTAGGTGCCATCAAATTTTCCTTTGCTACACATCCAGACAATGACTTATTTTTTATTACTAGATATGGAATATGATTTTACTTAAAAAGTATTTTAGTCTCTGATTTTACCAAATAAGTTTCCTCTCAATAGCTTTCTGTTCATAGCTCTGTCTTTTTCTGCACCTACATCTTTTCTGACTAGAGAGCCTTTGGCTGCCCATCATCTAGGAAGGAATGGCTGATATTCTAAGGCCTCCAGTGCGTTTTCTAGAACTTAGCAGCCTTAGGGAATGACAGTCAGCAAAAAATGACAGATTGAGCAAGTAATAAGCTGGTTTAGACCAGCTCTCCACCTATCTGTTTTGTAAGCTGAGCCCAAGGTTAGTACACTGCACTCCCCATAAGGGGCTGGCTTATTTGAACCATCCTTAGAAGGCTGGATTATCAGAGTATGTCTGGCACTCTCTTCTTCTAAGGTTGCCTCTCACTGCCCCATCCAATTTGACATCTTCTCCCTCCACTGATCTCCAATCTTCCATGTTGATCTTACACTCTCTTCTCAGAGCCTCCTTCCTGACTTATTTGAACTCTGAGTTAACATAGACACTCCAGATGTGTCTTACCTCCTACAAGTGCATCATTTCAGAGAAGACATCTTCTAACACACCTGGTGCTTCTCCAAAGAGGGATACCTCCCACCTGAGCTGCTGAAATCACCATGGGGTTAGTTAGAAAAGGGTCCCTTTCTTATCTTACTACCTACTCTGTTAGTTCAGTGTACTAGGCCCTCATCCCCAAGGGCCCCTTCATCAACTTGGGGTGATAGCTCACAGCCTCCATCCAGTAGACAATAAAACTGTTCTGCATCATCCCACAAGTCATTTCTCTGCACATCTCCCTTCTCTTTAAAACAATGACAAATAAAAGCTGGAAGAGACCTTGGAGTTCTATGGATACAAATGCTGAGTTAGAGAGGGCAGAAATATTCCCAGCTCAAGCCAGCTAGGAGCACAGGCAAGACCAAAACTCCAGAAAGCCAGTCTAGGGCTCCTTGAAGAAGTAGAGACATGTGGTGGGAAAAGCAATGTGGTTAAGGTCAGAAGACAGGTTTTTTTTCTTTTCACCTTAACACTACTCTCAACCTTATTTTCTCCAATACCTTCATTCCCCATTCCAAGGACAATGTCATCAATACCCCCTTGCCCGGCCCCATGTTGCCAAGCTCATTGGTTCTATTTCTTTTCTTTCTTTCTTGGCCTCTAAGGATTTAACCCTTCAATACACTCTTGATTTAATTTTGTTCCAGTGTCTCCACATGTCTTCCTAATTCTTCTAAAATGGCTCTTCTTTTGCCTCTTGTGCCTCAAGCTTTGCTCCCCAGGATGGCATGTCCCTTGGTCCTCTTCTTATTTTATGTACTCATTTCTAGGGGCTTGAGATTCAAACCTCAAGATTATGAGATTCAAATGTGCTAATCAGTGCACAAAAGTATTGCAAAGTATACCATTATCCAACTAGGCCTTGGTTTCCAGGATCCATCATCAACTAATTGGGATTTCTTATGAAAGAGGTTGTTCTATTTCCTTTCTCATATGCTGTCACTCTTATTCACTGTAGTATTGAAAGTCCTAGCCAAAGCAATCAAATAAGAAGAAAAAAAAGGCATTTAAATTGGATAGGAAGGAGTAAAACTGCCCTTACTTGAGACAACATAATACTCTATGTAGAGAACCCTAAAGAATCCAATAAAAAACTACTAGAACTGATAAATATATTAAGTAAAGTAACAGGATATAAAATAAATATACAAAAATCTGTTGAATTTTTATACACCACTAGTGAACTGACAGAAAGGGAAACGAAGAAAACATTCCCATTCATAATTGATTAAAAAAGAATAAAAACCTAGGAATAAATTTAACCAAGGATGTGAAAGTCCTCTACTCAGAAAATTATAAGATACTGAAGAAAAAAAAATTGAAGAAGATCCAAATAAGTGGAAACAAATATCGTGTTTATGGATTGAAAGAATTAACATCATTAAAATATCCATACTACCCAAATCAACCTAAAAATTCAATGCAATTCCTATAAAGACACCAATGTCTCACTGTGCTAGAAGCTGGAAGTTCTAAATGAAGGTACTGGTGGGGTCATGGTCCCTCTAAAACCTGTAGGAGAAGGAGCCTTCCTTTTGACTTCCTAGCTTCTGAAGATTTGCCTGCAATTTTTGAAATTTCTTGGCTAGTAGTTGTATCACTCCAGTCCTCCATCTTCATGTGATGTTTTTCTTACATGTCTCTACTCCATATTTCCACTGTATATGTCCTCTTATGTATCTAAATTTCCCCTTTATTAGAACAGCAGTCACATTAGAATAAGGCCCACCCTCTTGACCTAATTTTACCCTATAAAGACTTCATGTCCAAATAGGTCATATTCTGAGTTACTAGGGAATAGGACTCTAATATATTGTTTTTAGGGGACCCAATTCTACCCATAACAGTACTCCTCAGAAAGCTCTCAAGTGATTTTTTGGACTTAGAATGTTGAGTATATCTTCTGTTTTCAAAGGTGGACTCTGGTCACCAATTCTTAGAAAATAGGAAACAGTACATCTAGCCTGATATAGCATTATCCAACAGATATAATGACAAGAGTTAATAGGGGATAAATAATAATAATTTATTTAGGGATTATCATTAGCTAAGTGCTGTTCTAAGTCCTTTAAATGAAATATTGTCATTTAATCCTTGAATCTACTCTGTGGGCTAAGGACTATTACTTCTGTTTTGTAGGTGAAATAAAAGCACAGAGAGATAAATAATATTGCTATTGCTACATTGGCATTATGACTGCTTTCAAAATAAGAGTATTTATTTCTTTTAGATGGACCCCCTTCACTAGGACAATCTCCTCTTGAAAAAAAGTGGGCAGTCAACTTGACCATCCAGCATTCTTCCAACTGACTGTATTTATCCATGTCAACTCAGAATAGCTTTTAAATAAAAGAGTCAGCGTGTGTTCAAATTGCACTCTTTATTGAATAAAAAGGTATACCAGAAAGGACTTCATTAGAATGCATTTCTTATGAGGTTGCTTGAAAAAAATTACAATTCTTCATTAATTCACAATTATCTTTTGTTCTTGAATGGAGTCACACCAGTTCTTTATAAATTATGAAGTGATGGAGATTTGGCATTCCGACAGTGAGAAACCTGAAGTAAGGTTAAGTGATAGAAAATTGATCATTACTAAACTCTAAAATAAGAGCCTTGACCTGAGCTTTTGAGTCAAAACAAGATAAAGGAAGAACAACAAACAAACAACCATGTAAATTTAGAATGTGACCAGTTGAAATCATACTGAAAAGATAGCACCTACTTACTCTGTCTGTCCTGGGGGAGTCAAAGGCCCATCAGATCTATGGCCCATCAGAAATCAAAGATTTTGATAGATTACAATAACCATATTAAACTAAAATATTACTCTACATAAAATGATTTTACCTTTAGCTGGACTCTAGTGAGTCCAAGATTCCTCTTGGCTTTTCTAACTTCATGTTCTAGGTTAGAAGGAGCAATATCTGAACAACCACTGGATTGGAGAGCTACCTGGCTCACACATAAGATTTTGGGGCATCATTGTAGAAGGCATTTTAATGGAAACAGTATCATTTTCTTCTCCTGAGTAAAACTCTTATGTTTTTTTCTTTTTGTGTTTTGTTTTGAAGTTCATAGTTGAGCATTAGCATAGACACACATACACACACAAAAAAAACACACACAACACCCTGAATGTGCATAGACATTTTGAAGAATTTTATAATCAAGTGAAATACAGATCAGTATTTAAACCTAAGCTCAATAATTATTGAGCAATATAAGGATTAGAAATAAAGGATATGCAGTTTATGCAGCTAATTTTAATGAAACTAAGATCTTTATTATCTAGCAACATTGAGTGAGAATCTAATATATAAAACATCAATAAACTTCTTAAATATCTTTCAAATTTATCTTCTCTTTATTCTCTGTTGTTCAAATTTTAGGTACTCAGCACTTGGCTGTCATGTGGCCTATTGGCCTTATTTTTCTCCAATTCTATCTCTATTCTGCTAAATCATGGGGACACTATGATTGACTCTTTCAAAACTTCTCTACTCCCCATTTATCTAAATCCTCATGGCAGCCCCATCCCCTTTGCCATTATTCAGTTCAGGGATGGGCTAGTGTGAGGCAACTGGGCCAATGTGAGGTAAAGAAAGGCTTTCTTTTGGCTTCTGAGAAAGAGAAGCTAGTTTCTCCTGATGGATTTGAACCAAGATGTATGCTAGCCATCTTATGATCTCCAAGTAAGACAGCCTTATGATAAAGCTAAAAATAGCAGAGGAAGATAGAAAGAATAATATCAGTGACCATCTGAATCAGTTGAGCCAGAAGTACCCCCTGCTTATAGACTTGCTGTTATAAGAGATGACACATTTTCTGATTAGGTAATTTGCTATAGAAAATATTCTAATGGAAACAACTACATAACCATAAAGTCTTATTAAGAAACATTACTTTAAAAACATTTCAACAGCATTCCTGGCACTTTCAGACTAAATTAAAAATTATTTAGTAAGGTGATTGAGCCCTAGTAGAATTTGGCCTCAATTTGCTTCTCCAGCTTTATTTTCTATAACCCTCCTCCACATATTATTTTATAGGAATTCCACCAAACATAATATTCTTCTGGCTCCAGGCAGAGATTCAGGTTGACTTATCAATATGCACTTTTTTTTGGGGGGGGGAGGATTAATAATTTTAAAAGACTTTAAACAAACTGCTTAGGTAAAGAGATAAGATTATCAGCCATTATAATCACAATCCTCTATAGTCTTAGGGTTCATTCTTGGTGGTTCATTTATGGATTTGGACAAAAGTGTAATGACATATATCTATTATTACAGTATCATAAAGAGTAGTTTCAGTGCCCTAAATTTTTTCTGTGCTCTACCTCTTCATATACCCATCCTCTGGGCAACTACTGATTGTTTTACTCCAGAAAAAGTCAAAGTCTTCATAGTTTTGTCTTTTCCAGATATCATGTAGCCAGAATTATACTATATGTATCCTTTTACAATTGGTTTATTTCACTTAGTAATAGGTATTTAAGGTTTCCCTTGTCTTTTTATGGCCTGATAGCTGATTTATTTTTAGTACTGAATAATAGTCCACCGTCTGGATGGAGCACAATTTGTTTATCCATTCACCTACTGAAAGACATCATTGTTTTAAAAGGTATATTTTACTACTATTTTTACAGAGAGGAAGGGAGAGTTAGAAACATCAATCAGCTGTCTCCTGTACTCCCACTACTGGGGATGTGCCTGAAACCAAGGTACATGTCCTTGGCCAGAATAGAACCTGAGATTTGTCAGTCCTCAGCCAACACTCTATCCACTGAATCAAACTGGTTAGGGCCTGAAAGACCCTTGCTTCCAAGTTTTTGGCAGTTATGAATGAGCTGTTATAAACATCTGTATGCAGAGTTTTGTGTAAACATGATTTTTCATTTCCTTTGCGTATATACCAAGGAGCACAATTATGAGATTGTATGTTAAGACTATGGTTAGTTTTGTAAGAAACCCACCAAATTGTCTTCCAAGGTGGTTGTACCATCTTCATTCCCACCAATGGTGAATGAGAGTGTTGGTTGTTCCATATCCTCTCCAGTTTTTGGTGTTGTCAGTGTTCCAGATTTTGACCTTTTTAATACATGAATGACAGTCGTTTTAATTTTTAAAGATTGATTTGGCCATTTTTGTGTCCTTTCCATTTTTGTATAAATACTAGGATAAGCTTATAAAAACATTAGCTGAGATTTTGGTTGAGATTGGCCTGAATTGTAGGTTACTGGGGCATATTATCAACTAGACTTTAAGTCTTCTGATCCATAAACATGGTATATTTTTTCTATTTGTTTAAGTCTCCTTTAAAAATTTCTCTCAATAATGTCTCCTAGTTTGTAATGGACAAAACCATGTTGGAAAATACTGCTTCTTTAGTTCTTTTAGCACATTTATAATAGTTGATTTAAAGTCATTTTTTCTTAGTAAGTCCAATATCTAGACTTCCTCATATACAAATTGTATTGATTGCTTTTCCCCTTTATTTAGGCCATCATTTTCTGTTTCTTTGCATATTTCATAATTTCTTTTGTTAAAAACTACATATTTAAAAATAATATAATGTGGCAATGTTGAAAATCAGATCCTCTCAGGGATTGTTTTTTGTTGTTGTTTTATCATACTGTGTAGTGGCTTTCCTGAATTAATTGTATAAAATCTTCACATTTGTCATTTGTGGGCATTGATGTCTCTGCTGTGTTAGCTTAGTTGTTATTACATAACTAGACATAAATTTCCTTAACTGCCTTGAAGCAGCTTCCCAGTCTTTGCTGAGAAGCTGTGTGTGTGTGGTTAATCTTTAAAGCTCTGGAAGACAGTTTGCACCTCTGCCTTAGCCATCACTTCCTGCTTCCAAATAGCCTCAGGTCCGCCAGAGGTGGCAGATTAGGGCATTCTCGGGTTTTTATTGGGCATGCAAACATCCTTGCATATGCACATCACCTTTTTATTTCTAAGTATTGTCATAGTTTCAAAGTTCCTTATGGACAGCCAGGAAAAAAGTTGTTCACAGTGACTGAGCTCTGAGTGTGGTCAAATTACGAAGGAATTTCCAGGGAACTACCACACAAATCAATATCAATTCTCTTGGAATAAGTTGTGTTGTTTTTGGGGGGGGGGGGGGGGCACAACTCCACTTTCATCCCCTTCCCAACCCTCTTGGGATTGTTAGGTTGGTATTTTTCACAGGTACTGTTGATTCATTTAAAGGGGCAAGGGGAATGGGAGTAGGGAAAATTACAACACAAAAAAGCTCACTGTTCTAAGAATCAGCCATTCTTTTTTTTTTCAAGTGCTCCTTGGATTGTTGCAAGTCTTTGATTAATTTCCAGGATCTTGAAAAAGTTGATTTTGACAACTTTTGCCAGTGTCCTTATTTACTTTATAAGGAAATGGATTTGTTAGAGATTCTATTCTTCTATTCCAGAAGTACTCTCCTAATGGTCCTCCAAACTTTTATTTTCTGATGGCATTTGAAGATCTCAAATTTTGGAAACCAACAATCCATAAATAAATTTGAATTAGCATTCATTGTCCCCATATTACTGGTATGATCTGTGAAATGCCTCAGTCTATACATTTTCTCTATTAATCTCCTGGAAGATGTAAATCTAAAAGACATAATTCTCTCTCATAGTTTTGCCTAGGTCAGTGGTCAGCAAACTCATTAGTCAACAGAGCCAAGTATCAACAGTACAGCAACTGAAATTTCTTTTGAGAGCCAAATTTTTTAAACTTAAACTTCTTCTAATGCCACTTCTTTAAAATATACTTGCCCAGGCCATGGTACTTTATGGAAGAGCCATAATCAAGGGGCCAAAGAGCCTCATGTGTCTCGAGAGCTGCAGTTTGCCGACCACTAATCTAGGTTGTTTGACTTCAGTTTTACACAGTATCGAGCAAGAAGCATTTCCATAAATTTTCAAGTAATAACTTAGTTTAGAAGTAATACGTCTGTTTCCCAATTCTAGCTAAACACTAGTTCCCCAGAGGGTTCTTAACAGAAACTGAAAGCCAGAGGCAAAATTACTCACTCTCTTCATCACATTCTGTATGTTGCAATGCTTTCATAATCCAGTGGATAAGTAAGCCTGCAATGATCATTTCAGAGATGGTGCTGAATAGTAAAAATTGTAAAAGCATACTTCCAGCCATCTGAATAAAAAAGGAAAGAAATATTCTTCATATTAATTAACAATTTAAAAATTATACAAGAACCACATTTATTGAATATTTACATATGTACCACCTATTACGTTAAGCACTTTAATTCAGGCAACGCCTTGCAAATTTGATACTTTTATTCCTGTTACACATGACAAGACTGAAAAGTACAGAAATAACCTATTATACCTCGAACTATTGGATGTCTTCAGGATCTGTTACTGATTTTTTTTTGCTGCTCTCTCTTTTGCTTGCAGAAAGGTGATTGCAGGTTCTATTTTCTTTTAACTTATGCATTACAAACATTATTATACTTAGTGGATGGAACCATTCTCTCTCTCTTTCCACATTTCTACCATGGTCCAACATTAAGGTGATCAGACGTCCTGCTTTGGGCGGGACAGTCCCGATTTTTAACAATTTGTCTGTTGTCCTGCTGTGTTTTAAAAAATTTTAGAATCGGGACTTTTTTTAAAACGCCGCGGGACGCTGGGACAAATTGTTAAAAATCGGGACTGTCCTGCCAAAAGTGGGATGTCTGGTCACCTTACCCAACGTAGGAGTTTCTGCTCTCTTAGAAAAGAATGGCTTTGGTGCTTCCCAGAGCCCTTCACTACAGATCCCCAGGTTAGACACAGGGATTATCTAATTGGTGATTTTGAGAGAAGGAACACAGCTCCTCTGGATTCTCTTTTTTTCCAGAATGCTTTGTATTTATGACCCCAAGTTCTCCTTAACATCTGATAACTGTCTGGTCCTAGCATAAGGAGACCGATGGTGGCTCTGTTACTAGGTGGATGAGATTAATTCATGAGAGGAGGTACCAGCAAGCTCATTTAGCCAAAGTTTTTAGACTTATTCTCCAATGACAATAATCAACAATGAAGCATATGGTTTTATCTACATCTGCTTGATTTTCGTGTTTTATCTCAGTTGGTTCCGAACGTGAGAGAAGACTGGATGGCTTATTTATTGGCCTCCTATACTAGTTTTCTAAGGCTGCTATAATAAAAATGTCACAACGGGTGACTTAACACAACTGAAATTTACTGTATCAGAGTTCCGGAGGGTAAAAGTAAAAAAAAACCTTTATAGCTTTCAGCTCCTGTTAGTTATGGCATGTAGAAGCAAGAACTCCAATCTCTGACTCTATGTTTACATGGCAATCTTCCTTCTGTGTCTGTGTCCAAATTTCCCTCTTCTTATAAAAACACCAGTTATGTAGGATTAATGGCCCACCATACCCAGTATGACCTAATTTTAACTAATTACATCTGCAAAGATCCCATTTCCAAATAATGACACCTTTTTGAGGCACTGTGGATTAGGACATCAATATATCTTTTTGGAGGATGCAAACTGAGTTTTAAATATCTCTATGGCAAATATCTATAGCAAATACAGTTTCTTCTTATATTTTATGCCAAAGGTGGTTTATAAGTTTGGTTGCTTTTTCCATATCTTGCTCACTACAACATACATCATTCATCATAGTTTTTTTTTCATTTATATCTGATTATTTTTATCCAGTTATTCTTAAACTTGGTACTTACGTATGACCAAACATAGTCATTAGTTTTTGACTGGTAACTTAAACATGCAACAGTTAATATAGCTGTGCCAATTGCAGCAACGCAGAAACTTATGATGTTCATCATAATGGCACCAACAAACTGTAATTGATATAAAAAGAAAAAAATGATCATGAACAACATAAACATTATTTTTTCTTTTTAAAATCCTCACCAGCGGATATTTTTTCATTGATTTTTAGGTAGAAGAGAGGAAGGGAGGGAGGAAGAGAAACATCAAAGTGAGAGAAACACATCTGTGAGAGAGACACATCAATTGATTGCCTACTGCATGTACCTGCACCCCAACAGAGGCTGGGGGATGGAACCTGCAACACAGGTACATGCTCTTGATAGGGATTGGAACCTGTTACCATTTGGTGTTCAGGCTGACATTCTAACCACTGAGAAACATCAGTCAGGGCAGTATAAACAGATTTTGGTGAATCAATCAGTCTGTTGTGGTGAATAGAACATTCAAGTGGAAATTTTTTATTTGATTTTCTAGAATCTTTCTGTGGTTGATATCGGGATGCTGCCTGAACTCAATAGGATAAAAACATTTTTTTACATAAAGTATTTGTTTATTTATTTGCTGGGCTAGCATGATTTACTGACTGAGCTCAAAATATGAACCATGAGGTCATAGCTCCATTGTTGATCAGGGTACATCCCGGGTAGCGAGCTCCATCCCCATTGTGGGGCATGCAGAAGGCAGTCAATCAATGATTTTTTCCCCCCTCATCATTGGTGTTTCTATCTCCTTCTCCTTTCCTCTCTGAAATAAATAAAAATATATTTTAAAGCATTTATTTAACAAATAATTGTATAGTGTCTACAACATGTTAAGCTTTGTGCAAGGAATTCAGTCCAGCATCCCACTCAGAATCCTGCAATCTAACATGGGAGGAAAAAAAATGGCAAATTTAATTCAATAGCATTTAATAAATATCATATGGATAAGCTTCAAATCTAGGATTTATGTTATCCTTTATCCAATAATGTCACTTTACTACTTAATACTTTTCCAGAAGACAGCATCCAAAGCCTTGAATGGCAACGAGTACTGAGGGCCTTGCATACGTTGCACAGGGAGGCTGTGCCTCTTTGAGAAGGGGCAGCATGTATTTTGTATGTATGTGTGGGGGGGATAGTTACATTTTAATTATTTTTTTTGTAATGGGAAGAAGGATGTGATTTGATAGTGGTCAACCAAAGGAAAGGACTTATGTGAACATGTTCATTTTTGTTTGTCCAGCAGGTAGCCTCCTTTATGCTTTGGGAGTTCTCCTCACTGGTTTCGTTTTTATAACAGAAGTTTATCAAGCTTCAATTATAAATACAGAGAAAGGAAGTCCTCCCTTCTCTTGAATCACCAAGAACAAGGGCTAGGCCATGGTCAGTAAAAGAGGTCAATTCTCCTTCTACAGATTGTGAATCTTGAGCAAATACTTTAAATAAGGTGAAATTTAGTCCTAGAAGAGACAGCTGTGATGCTATGCAATGGGGCAGTGGGAGCTTTGGGTAGTAGAGGGAAGGTAGTAAATTTTTACCTAGGTGGTAAAAGATTTCCCCAGGATAACATGAAAATAAATAGGTATGTTTTCCAGGAAAAAAAAAACTGGTGAACTCAAATTTTTACCCAGATAAGGGGCCACCTAATGTTTATTATAGTTTAAAAATCTTTTTTAATTTAGGGCAAAAAAAAACATACACTTTACATTTATTTTCTGCTTAATTTGAAAACAGGCACATTCATAAAATATAAGTGGCACTGTACTCTGAACACAAACCAAAAAACTTTCAACTAAAATAATCTTCTCTTCTTCCTATTCTAAATGTTAGAATGTCCTAGAGTTTAGTTTTTGTTTCTTTTCTTCTTTTCTATTCCCCTTCCATTGAAGATCTTGACAAGTTTCATTGCTTTAAATAGCACCTTCATGTCTAAGATTCCTAATTCAGTCCAATTTACTCAAATCAAAAGCTTTATTTTAATCTCTGACTCCTCTTTTTTTCACAACCTGCACCCATTAGGAAGCCCTTGTTGGCATTACTTTCAAATATACTGTATACAGAAACTAAGCATTTATCACTCCCTCCACTGCATTTGAAACTAAGCATTTATCACTCCCTCCACCCTGGTCTAAACCATCATCTTTTACCTACCTGACTATAGTGGCCCTGTAACTGACCTGCCTGCTCTTAACCTTGCCCTCCTTAATATTATCAGAGAATTTCAGTCAGAATGGTCCTATTAAAACACTTCATCATATCACTCCTCAAAATATTCTCCTACTTCCCTTAGGGCAAAAGCTGGTCTAAAAGCTCACACATGATCTGGTTCCCATAGCTCATGGACTTCATGCCCTACTGTTGTTCTCTGAGCTATTCTGCTATGGCCACACTGACCTTCTTGCCAGAACATGCCAGACATGTTCTCACCTTAGGGCGTTTTAAATGGTTGATTCCTTTACTTGGACTGCTTTTCCCTCTGATATCTGCAGGGCTATCTTTCTCCCTCAAGCTCTGTTCCATAAGACAGACCGTCAAACCTTAGGGAGGGCAAAGGAAGGTGGGAGGAGGGGTTAAGAGATCAACCAAAGGCCGAAACCGGTTTGGCTCAGTGGATAGAGCATTGGCCTGCAGATTGAAGGGTGCTGGGTTTGATTCTGGTCAAGGGCATATACCTTGGTTGTGAGCACATCCCCAGTGAGGGATGTGCAGGAGGCAGCTGATGGATGTTTCTAACTCTCTATCCCTCTCCCTTCCTCTCTGTAAAAAATCAACAAAATATATTTTTTTTAAAGAGATCAACCAAAGGACTTGTATGTATGCATATAAGCATAACCATTGGACACAGACAGTAGTGAGGTGAGGGCTTGTGCTGGGGGTTGGAGTGGGTGGGGAGTAGAATGGGGGGGAAATGAGACATATGTAATACTTTCAACAATAAAGAATTAAAAAAAGAGATGGATTTGGGTAATTTTAATTCAACACATAGCCCACTGATGGCAGCCCCCCTTTCTTTTCTTTTTTCCCTGTGGAAGCTATCACCTTCTGACACACTTCCTTATTGTTATCTTTACTTGTCTTAACACCCCTATTAGAATATATGCTCCACAGTGGCAATACATCTTTGTTTGCTAACTGATGTATCCTATGTACCCAGAACATGCATCAGACTCAATACATGTTTTTTAAATGAAATTATTGGAATTTAGCTACATTAGGTACAAAATATACTAGGGTACCTAAATATAACGGAGTATTATGCTGCCACTAGAATTATTTTTCTAAATCATTTTTCGTGAGTTGGTAAATAATTATAATTGCTTTCACTTTGTCGACTTGAGCCACATTGGTTTGAAAAATTTCTGGACAAGCATCCTTGGTGCAGATGAGTCTCTGTGTTTCTGTGAGGAAGGATGTCAAGTGTTTCTAGAGAAGAAAATAGAATGGCTCTGTATGAAATAAGAAGAGGAGTTTATTTTTTCTTCTTGAGATAATATGAGAAAAGGGAAAAGGAGAGCAGAAAATAGAGTGATGTTGGAGGTTGTGGACAGAATTACAAGTGGAGCAAAATCATGGCCAGAACTTGGAAATTATTTTCTCCTACCATTCCTCAAGTATAAGACCAAGCACTTTTTGTTAAGGAGCCAAGCTTATTCACACCTGTTTTCTTGGAAGTTGTGAAGCAAAATTGGGACAGTATGTGCAAATACAGAAACCAAAATATGAGAATGTTGGTTCCAGAAATTGGCAAAATCACAATGGGGCTTCATGACCTTAAAGATCAACTGTATTTATATCTCTGGGGGGAAAGCAACACCAGGTAGCAGCTGGGTTACATATACCCCATGTTTGTAAATATGTTGGAGAAACAAGTTTAGGAAAAGGCCTAGAATAGAAAATGATGTCAACAGTGGCTGCCTGGGTGATGGTAAAAGTGGAAGAAAAAAAAAAGGTATATATAAACCGAATGCCCGTACTTATAGCCAGCAAGTGGCTGCTGAGTAAAATAGCTTTTGTGTCTCTTTGATCACATCCTTTTGAAAAAAATAAAAACATGGCGGACCTTTTGCTGGATTATGAAACAAAATTTCTCCTTTTACCAGTTCCTAAAAGCACCTTGTTTCTCTCAGTAGGTTTTGCTAAGTAGAACTCACTGTGAACCAGGGAGGATTCTTTGTGCTTGTTTACTCATTTAATCATCCCAACAACCCTTTAGGCAAGTATTATTATTAATCACTTTTTTTTTTCAGATGAGAAGAGTGAAGCACAGAGTAAAGTAATTTGCCCATGTTCACACAGCCAGAGGTAGGGGAATCAGAATGTGAATCCAGGCAATCTACCTCCAAAGCTGTGATCCTAACCACAAGGGGAGAAGTTCTAAAAGAGGAATTGACTGTCCTTTGTTGGATGTATTTTAATGATATGTGACTTGTATTTTAATGATATTCTTTAGACCTGGGTGCTGAAGGCAATTCTCTTTTCAAATATTATTTTGTCTTATCCCCTTCCCCAGCTAAACACTGATATTCTAGGATTACCCTACTGAATTCCCTTTCCATTACTTTGATTCCAGGACAGAATTTTTTGCGGCTATATATACCCTTTAAAAAAGCTTAAAATGATTTATTCCATCAAAACCCTCACACCTGAGAAATAGAAATAAAACCTATTTCTCACACTGTGGCCTCAATACCCATTCACAAAGAATACACTGGAGTGCATCCTTATAAAAATTAAATGATCTTTTTTAACCAACCACAACATTTATAAAATTCCACCTCTCCCCCCCACCAAAAAAAAGAGCATAGAAGCAATAATTTCTTCTGCTCAGCTTGTGTGTAGTAATCTTTATCTTTGGCATTGCTCCAAACAGTCCACCATACCAAACGTCGTGTAGGGTGCCTCTGTGCTTGCACGGTTGTAGATCCTGAGTTGATGAACTGTGGATAGAAACAGGCATTTGTAAACATCCATTCCTGTTGATGGTCCCCCAAACAAGTACTTTTCCTAGGGCCAGTGGTGTTCTTGAAATCTGAAGGATCAGTGAATTCTCTGAAGAAAATGGTTTTAATGATTTCAGTTCTCTGGCGACTGGTAGGTTCTCTAAGAAATGGAGTCACCATTCCTTTGATATGGAGATGAAAAGGTTAAAGTCGCCATTCCTTAATGAAAGCTTTGGTGGTAGGACTTAGGGATTTCACAGTGATTTTATGAGAAACATGCTATAGGTACTTCACATGTTTTGATTATTATTTGTTAAGCTCCTGGTCTAAAATTAGGCCCTAAATTATTAGAAAGTAATCCTTAGAGGCTAGTAGGGTGGCTCTTACTTGCAAAACCTTTCCCCCCATGCTTTTGTAGAAAAAGAAATTCATCAATAGAAAACAGTTTCAGAAAGCATGTGATCTGCAGTGACAGGCTGACTTCCACAAACATCATGTTCTAAGTGCTATCACCAGTTGAAAGGATTGTTGTTTTTGGTATGTCGATAATATAAATGTTTTCCCCAGATCTCATATCTTCAATTTGCCTACAGCACTAATGAAAGATGACTCATCTGAAGAGCACAGAGTATCTTTTGGTCCAGGAAAATAAGATCCTGTCGTGGAAGCAGAATTGCTGAGTCACTGTGTAAAAGTTACTAACATTTTCTGCCGAAACCGGTTTGGCTCAGTGGATAGAGCATTGGCCTGCGGACTAAAAGGTCCCGGGTTCAATTCCAGTCAAGGGCATGTACCTTGGTTGTGGGCCCATCCCCAGTAGGGGGTGTGCAAGAGGCAGCTGATCTATGATTCTCATCGATGTTTCTAACTCTCTATCACTCTCTCTTCCTCTCTGTAAAAAATCAATAATATATATAAAGTTACTAACATTTTCTAAGTCTTGGTTTCCTCATTTGTAAAATGGGGATCAATAATAGCTACCTCTTACACACTCTCACCCCCTCCTATTGTAAAGATTGATTCCATAGCACAATGAGCTCCTTAGAGTCAGAGATTGGGTCTTCAGCCTTTGCTTGGTCTCTTGAGTAATGCACTTAATACATTAGGGGGGGGGGGGGGGAGAATTGAAATCAAGAACACCATGGTTTACTCACAAATGGTACTGTCCAAAATGTGTAAATGAGGATAACAGGTACGGGGACATAACCGGTTACTGATATTTTCTCCTCTTGGATAAACAAATGAAAACAGAGAAACCACAGGGCACAGTGAATCAGGGCAATAATTATCTGTGCAGCCTGTGTATGAGAAGGGAGAACCATCATTATCACATAAGTCAAGTCTATATCAGACCATGAAAAGGTCACGGGGATGTCCAGTTTACCAAGGTATTTCTGAAGCAGTAATGCAAGAATTACATGTCAGGGAGGAACCAAGTAGCTGCAAAGGGTCTCCACATTTACTTACACAATGAGTATTTGTTTTTGTTTTATAATAACCTTTGGAGATAATTAATATTTAATTTTCTAGTTGGTTCTAGTTAAGAAAAAAGCAGAAGCCTATTTAAGTGTTTGTCTCAGGGGGACACATGACTAAAAAAAATGAGCTGCTGGATATGGGGATCTGGACACCCCTCCCCCCTTTCCTGCAGTTGTTTCTATGAGGCCAACTCCCATTGGTGACTCAGTTCTTATTTCCTCCACCAAAGCAAACTAGGTGCTTTTCACCTTGCCTTCCTTTTCTCTCCCTCTCTTGTCTGGCACTTGGATTTTGGTTCTTTTTTGCTATGCCCATTTCCACACCCTGTGCTGACTTTTGTATCCACGGTCTAGATCACAGTTCTAAGTTTTATTCAAAAGAAACATCAAGGAAGGCTCTCTAATAACCTCTGGCTTTCTATAACTCTCATGTGAAGTTTTCTCAGGGGCTAGGCATGGAGCTGGGTCTCATACTCCAGGTAGAGAGGAGCCATATAAACACACCAGTGATAAGGGTGCCAGCAACCACTGAAGCTGGCATAGAAGGTCCTTCTTTTGTTCTAGCCAGGCCTCCACATTATGGAGGGCAATCTGCCTTAGTCATAGTTCAGTGATTTAAATGTTAATCTCATCTAAAAACTCCTTCCCAAAAACACCCAAAAGAATGTAACCAAATTTACCTTGTGACCTAGGTAAGTTGATATATAAAATTAACCATGACAGAAAGTCAAGAAGTGACTTTTGGGTAATGATACACCTCTCCCTTGAAGATTACCCTGATCTTAAAGCAGCACAAAACCATGTATTTATTGGTGACTTATGTCTCAATCTGTCACATGGGAGATGGCAATTTGAAATGGGTTTGAATGGACTTGCCTGCTTACTGCCATGCTCTTCAATTTCAGATTCTTTTTGGGCCATAAATACACTAACTTATTCTGAATTCAGTGAAGGACCCAGGGAGGTTTAGTAGGAGATACTAACAGAAGATCCTTAAACCATTCATCCTCTCTTAGGTAGTAAGATCTTACTGGATAGATCAGTGGGTAGCCAGGGACAGGCCTATACCTTTTCACACACATTGACATCACCACTCTCCAGACCAGATAAGAAAATAAAAAGCAAGTAATTCAGACCTAAAACACCATGATAATAGAAACCACTAGTCCCCTGCCCCTGCTATATATGAAGCCTTGCTACATTAAGGTATGCCCTCCATTCTGGCAGTGGTGATAATCATAAGCTTGAAATGTTCAGAATTTTTCTAGTACAAGCTTTAATCTTTCTGGCTTAGATAAAAATATGAGCCAAGGTTCAACACCTAGTTGTGGCTAATGCAAAAGGAGATAGCATTCTAAGGTTGAGGAAAAGTGAAAGGAGGAACACTGATGCTGAATATTATCTCCTTGAGCTAAATAATGGGAGAATTTGTTGAGAGCACAATGTTACCACTGACCACAGAGCTCCTGTGTATACAGCCACTCCTGATCTTGGGCCCATTGCCTGACAAATTTATGATCTATAAACTTGTTTCAAATGGTTTACAAGCAAAGGCAGAAAATGGACCTCCCATGCATAAGCAATCTCAGAGTGTATTTTCTAGAATCTTAGGTAGGTTGTGATGATGCTGAACTATTTAGTTATGGTTTGTGGATTTATAATTCATGTCCAATTTGCTCTAGCCCGACTGGCATCACTTCAGAACACTTTCATCAGCTTTCCTTCCTATGAGTTTATTGTAGATGTGGTCTCTTTCCTTTTATATTGGGAAGATGCAACAGTCAGCATTTATTAACCCCAGGCAGTACTTAGTCCTTACCCCCATTGCTCTGCCATCCTCTCTTAAGTAGTATATTCTTGGCATTTTAATTAGGAAGTTATGCATAAAATATGGAGAATGAATGGACTCCTTTTCTGTAGAGAAATATAGAGAAAAACAATACTAATTATTTTTGAGATAAGGCACTTAATATTACAGCCTCTGCTACATAGCTATTAACTTCTTGTCAAAATCCAAGAGCTACTTCTCAGATTTTATGCTTCCATCGTGGTCATTAAATGAAACCAAGTAGATAAATTTTGATGTAGGTGCCTCACTTCTATTATTTTCTCTTTTTCTAAGAATTAACCTGCTTCCCTAAATCCTCAGGGACATCCATGTTTGAGTTCCTGGTTGCCTTGTGTGATGTTCATAAGAATGTCTCTCAATCTAGTAATAGTTGATTAGAGAAGGCATGGGTATCTGACTAACTGAACCAATCATATCTCCCATTGTATTTAGCTCTAAGACAATACAGTCCCAATCTGGGCTTGTCTCTTGAACAAGAAGTACTAGCCTTGCCACATTCCAGCTTTTGGAAAGAAGAGCAGAGAAACACCCAGAGTAAAGAGGAGGACGGAGAGTAATCCCTAAAAATTCTGATGGTTCCCATTTCCCTGATTCTAGTTGCTTTTTTAAGCCTGTCTATGAGACACACTGCATCTTTAAAATAAATTCCCCTTTAGTGTGTGTGTGTGTGTGTGTGTGTGTGTGTGTGTATATATATATATATATATATATTTTTTTTTTTTTTTTAATTCTCACTGGAGGATATATTTTACCATTGATTTCTAGAGAGAGTGGAAGGAAGAGAGGAGAGAGAGAGAGAAAAAAAGAAAGAGAGAGAGAGAGCAACTGAGGTACTTGCCCTTGACTGGAAATCAAACCTGTGACCCTTTGATCTGTAGGCTGATGCTCTAACCACAAAGCAAAACTGGCCAGGACTGGATTTGGCCGTCTAACATGCTTTGACTAATACAATGTGAGAACATGACACATATCACATCTGAACCAAAACCTTATGAGGTATTTTAAGTTTTTATCAATTTTCTTGCTCATTCCCCTCTGTTGTAAGAATATCACTTCCTAGGATATTGCTATATTTTAGTGTGAATTGCACACATGGAGTAGACCAAAGTTTGCCATTAAAAAGAAGAAAATCTTGCCATTTGTGACATGAATGAAACTGGAGGAGCATTATGATAAATAAAATAAACTAGAGAGAAAAAGGCAAATACTATATGGTATTACTTACATGTGGAACATTTATTTTTAAAGTCAAACTCATAGAAACCATGTAAAATGGTGGTTGCCAGGGGCTGTGTGAATAGGGGAAATGCAAAAATGTTCGTCTATAGTTACAACTTTTAGTTATAAGATGAATATGTTTTTAGATCAATGTATAGCATGGTGAGTATAGTTAATAAAATTGTATTATATACTTGAAATTTGCTAAGAAAGTAGATCTTAAGTGTTCTTTTAAAAATATATATATTTTATTGATTTTTCACAGAGAGGAAGAGAGAGGGATAGAGAGTTAGAAACATCAATGAGAGAGAATCATCGATCAGCTGCCTCTTGTACACCCCCTCCTGGGGATGTGCCCACAACCAAGGTACATGCCCTTGACTGGAATCAAATCTGGGACCCTTCAGCCAGCAGGCGGACACTCTATCCACTGAGCCAAACCGGTTTTGGCAATGGCCTGTTTTCTAATTCCATCATATTAGGACCAGAAGTTCAAAATGTCCACCACTCCTGACCGGACTTGCCATGTGGCTCTGATGTTAAGGCAGGCTTTGGTACCTTTTGGAACACTAAATGCCAATCATTTCTCTCAACTCAAAGACTGAGAAACACCAATTTTGAACACAACTCCAGCTTCACCCATAGAAGTGAAAACTGGTCATTGCTCTTGCGTGTTTTGACAGAGCAAAGGTGGTTTATTGTTTGAAAGAGGGTGTTTGACTAGTTCAACTCTATGTCAACTAACAGCTCAGTATCTTGATCTTAACTGTGAAAAGAAATGTGTTGAATCAGTGAACTTGAAAATGTCTTCAGATTAAACATTCTTGGAGGCAAAGAAGCAATTTCAAGAATTCTCAAAGAAGTGATTTTCCAGTTTGCTAACATGTCCAATCACAAAACATTTACAATATGAATAAAATTGTCCTGTGCTGCCTTTTGATTTTGGTGAATAGTATTTGTGCTTACTGACTTCAGTCTAATAGTCCAGCTTGACTGGGATCACTCTCATGCTTGTTTTTGTTGTTGTTGTTGTTGTTATTTTTTAAAATATATTTTTATTATTTTATTTTTTTATTATTTTATTTTATTTTTAACAAGAGAAAAACCATTTTATTATATACTTTGCATGGGAGTTTTACAAAAAAAATTGGGCTTAAGGAGTGGTCAGATGATTGAGGCTTATATAACACCTTAAATTAAACAAAAGAAAGGGGGTTCAGGGTTTCTGGGCTGGGTCAGGTAGGGGCAAAGGTAGGGAGGAAATATATGGCAAATATGAATTGTCCTGTTATACACATAATAGCCTTTCAGATGATAACTTGTATCCATCCAGATTAAGTGTTCTTAGAATATCATTTCTTGATTGCAGTAATCATTACACAAAGTGAACCTATATAAAATCATTATATTGTATACTTTAAATATAATTATATTCATCAATTAATTTTCAATAATGCTGAAAAAAAGTTTATTTATATATATATATATTTTACTGATTTTAGAGAGGAAAGAAGAGGAAGAGATAGAAATATCAATGATGAGAGAGAATCATTGATTGGCTCCCTCCTGTCTACTGTCTACTGGGGATCAAGCCCACAATCCAGGCATGTATCCTTGACTAGAATCAAACCCAGGACCTTCGAGTCCACAGGCCAATACTCTATCCACTGAGCAAAATAGGCCAGGGCAAATTTTACATTTTTATAAAGGCCAGTATATCTCTTTTTTTTGTTGTTGCTTGTGATTTTGGTGTTATATTTAAGAAACCTATGTCTAATTCAAGATCATGAAGATTTATACCTATGTTTTCTTTTAAGTATTTCATATTTTTAACTCTTCATTTTAAGGTCTTTTTGATCAAATGGTACAGTATGGGCTGAAATAAGTTCTCTTCATATGAATATCCAGTTTTCCCAGCACTATTTTTTGCCCCATTAAACGGGCTTGTCATTCATCTAAAATCAAATGACCATAGACTTTTTTTGGACTCTCAATTCCTTTCTATTGATTTATATGTCTTTCTTTATGCTAATACTACACTATCTTGATAACTTTGTAATAGGTTTTAAAATGGGCAAATATGAGTCCTTTACTTTGTATCTTGTTTTGGTTAATCAGCCTCCTTTGCATCCATATGCATGTTAGGATGATTTTGTCAAGTTCTGTAAGAAAAACCAGTTGGGATTTTGATAGAGATTACATTTAATCTGTAGATTAATCTGGGAATATTGCATCTTAACCATATTAAATGTTTCAGTCTGTTGGACACAGGAAATGTTTTAATTTATGCTAGTCTTCTTTTCTTCAATAATTTTTTAAGTGTACAAGTCTTGCACCTCTTCTGTTAAATAAATTTATTCCTAAGTATTTTATTCTTTTGGTTGTTATTATAATGTAATTATTTTCTTTATGTTGTTTTTGGATTGTTTAATGTCAATGTATATCAGTACAAGTAATTATTGTGCATTGATCTCATATCTGGAGAACTTTTGAACTTATTTATTGTGTGTGTGTGTGTGTGTGTGTGTGTGTGTGTGTGTGTGTATGTGAATTCTTTAGGGTTTTCTCTATATAAGATCATATATAATAGTATGCTACTTGGGATAGCTTTGCTTCTTAATGTGTAAATGCATTATTGAAATGCCAGTAAATGTTAAATATAAGTGAAGTGAGTGGACATCTTGTCTTGTTCCTGATCTTAGAAAGAAAACTTTCAGTCACTCACCATTAAGTATAATATTAGTTGTGGTTTGCCTACATATCATTTATCAGGTTGAGGAAGTCCCTTGCTATTCCTGGTTTATTGATTATTTTTATCATTTAAGGCATATTAGATTTTCACACATGTATTTTCTGCATCAATTTAAGTGATCATGTGTTTTTCCCCTTTACTCTCTAACTATGGTATATTACAAGGGCTGGTTTTCATATATCCAGCCACCTTTGCATTAGTGGGATTAATCTTGTTTGGTCATGGTATATAATCCTTTTAATGCATTCTTAGATTTGGTTTGATATCTCAGCACTGAGATAGTTCTGAGTTAGGTGAGACAAAGGTAGGTCTGTTGAGCAGATCCTTCAGTAACCACCAGGCAGGTAAAACAAATAGCCAAACTTTTTAAAGGATAGATTTGTTCTGCTTCCTATGGCACTTGTATAATAGGAATGTAAACTATTTTCAAGGCCATTGGTAAGCTGGGGAGTGGAGAATGGGGCTAAGGTAAGCTAAAATTCTAAAAAAGGTGCTTAGTAAGATTCAGTTGTGTTTTCTTGGTTAACAATTCCCTTCTTATAAGTTTCCACTATTTTCCAGAGTTGGGAGACAGTTGATTCTGACAGTTTTTGTCAGTTTATTCATTGCTTGGTGTTCCCTTCTCTGTCATTTTCAATGATGTCACATCTATCCATGTCTTTTTAAATTAGTCTCACTGCCATAAAATTCATATCCATAAATGAGCATTGTGGGTTCCCATATGCTTACTGTATTTCAACTTTCCTTTAATTTCTATAAGCTTTCTTTTTCTGAGCTGGGCTTTTGCCTTATTTCCAATGTAAACTGCTATTTTTCAGTGGAATTAAAATGGTGTCTAGAAACCTGATAGATATGTCATTAAACTTGGATATGCTCACTGCTTCCTTCCAACCTCCTCCCCTTTACCCTTCTTTCTCAAAGCAAACCTAGCTTGACCACTCAACCAACCTACCAACCAACCAAAATATACAGAAGCCAAAAATGAAATCTGTGACTATATTCAGGAGTAGGCGAAGAGGTGCAGAGCTAGAAATGAGCAAAAAAGCTAAGAGATCAGCAGCTGAGTTGATATGGGATTCATTCTTTTGTTTGAATTATTACACAAGTCTGTAGTTTGATCTTCTTTCCCCCAATATTTCATTATTCCTTTTCTTGTCCCTTTATCCCATTTCCTGTACTTCAGTCACAGCAATCTTTCAAATCTGATGATATGACTTAGGAGATTCTCCACTGTCTTCAAATAGTCTCTAAATATACAATAGCCTTTCATAATGTGCCCCTTGGTTTCTTTTGCAGCCCAGTTTCTCAAACCATACTCCAGCCATTTCTGATTAGTTTCAGTTCCACCAATGGGCCATATGTTGTTGGTTGTTTTTTGTTTTGTTTTGTTTTTGTATGTTTGTATTATATTTTTTTATTGTAGACTTTAAACACTATGTATAGCATTTCATGGTATTTTAGGTGATAGGTTTGACTATATGGATTCATGATATTCATTAAATTAATATTAAAGAAAGGAAAATTAAAAAAGAGTTTGGTATGTAGTAGTGAGCAATACATGTAGCCCTGGTTGTATTATTATTAGTACTGTCCTAAAGAGCAAGTTGAAACTCCAGGTAACTTTTCATTAAATTTGATGGTATGTCTGGGATCAACTGACTTAATCTAAGCTATGGTGAATTTATAAAATTCTCTGTAGGGACCCAGGAGACACACCTCAATGTGATAAACGGTGATCATATGAAATAGCTAAAATCCAGACTCAAGAAGATCTCATGGAGATCTGAAGCATTAGGATGAAAAGAGGAAACAACCAGTGGTCTCAAACAAGAACCCAAATTGGATGTATACTGAAAACTGCAAGTCTTGGTTTATAATGTTACTCACAGGTCAACTCTTCAGCACCTTTACTTAATAGAAGATTCTCTCAGGCAATGCTTATTAGCCACCTAGCCTTCTGAATGGTGCTGAAACACAGGATGAACACGGATCTTCTCAACTCAACTATTATCAGTAAAGATACCATTATCAGTAAAACATTCTGAGAGATAGGGGAACCCAGGATGATGAAGTCCCACGGTGCCAGGGCCTAGCAACCTTCGATCTCAAGGTAACGGATCTGAGTTCTAGAGGCAATCCCTCCTAGGCTCCCTACCCTCAAGTCATGTCCTGAGCACAGGGCCAGAGGGGCGTGATCCTGCAGGTGGCATGGTCAGTTCAGGGCTGCCAGGCCAGAGGAGCGGGTCGGATCTACTTCCTCGGTTGTGCTCCTCATCCTGCCTCATGAGATAACAACGCTGCAGTTGTGGTCTAGACTCTAGAGCGCAGCTGTGTGGGACATTGCACGTGGAGACCCACGTAGACACATGCGCAAGGTAAAACCTCCGTGGCGCCGCGCAGCACCACGCAGCTCCACTGAGCCTGCACGTTCACAGGATATGGCTTACAGTAGTGGGCAGACAGAGATACCAACCTTCCCTTGGCTGTGTCAGCATCTTACTCTGACCTTAGACCTGAACACTTCCGGGGGGAAGAGGCTGTGCTTGACTCTTCCTTCTGGCTAATAATTCTGCAGAGACAACTCTTTGAAGAGATGTCATCATGGAAATTCTCTACCACCAAGAATCATCTACATGCTGTGGTGGACACAACTGGGAAGAATAATTAATTTCTGTTGTCCTCAGTTACTCAGCAGAGTGGAGATAATACCTGCTCAGGTACCTAGAAGGCTCATGCTATATAGAACTTTGAAGACCAAAGCTATTATATAATCTACCACTATAATTATTATTTTATTTTAATGAAATAAAAGCCATGAGTCAAATATTTAGAATCCTTCTAGATCGTGATTTTCAGGAGAGCAGAAACTTTGTCTGACTTCTTTACCTATGTGTCTGCCCTCCTCACCCTCATTCATCTCTAATACCCACTAACACCTGACAGTCAACTATTACTTGTATACCACCGTTTCTGACACATAGTATGAATGAACCGAATGAATGAATGAATGAATGAACCAAACCATATAGCCCATTTTTTGGTCTTGCCTGATTGCTGAAAGATGTTTCTTTACTTTCTCTTTCTTCATTTGGACAGAATCTGGTGGTGTTTTCTAAATGTATCTTATCCAGATAGATCTGCTTTTTCCTCTTTTACGTAAAGAAGGTGTAAAGTGCTCTGTGGTGACAGTGGTGGTGGTGGTAGCCTCTGGGGTTTTCATGAGTAAAATGATTCTGTAACTCAAGACAACCAGATCTAAACTGATAAAACTTCATACTCAATATGACCCATATAGAAAATATAAATGAGAGTCATCCATTTTAATTTTTATTTACAGAATAGGGAGAAGCAAACTTTTGGACAAACTTTTCTAAATTGTGTTTCTAGAAAGCCACTTGGAAAAAATGATGATGTTCTTCCTTCATCATTAAACTTTTTCATTCTTGACTGAGGTCATGATGGTTCTGTTCTCCAATATGTAAGAAAAGGACCTTTTATACCATGAAACTAAGCAAAGTGGAGTGTTAGTAAACTTACCATTAATTTCCCTACTAAGTGACTTTCCAAATGTTTCCCCATTAAATATTTATCCTGACAAAGTAGAGTGATTTGGAGACACAGTATGTTGAGAATTAGGGAAAAGACACAATCATTTTAAAAGAAACATTGCTCAGCATATTCTCTTTCAGCTTATTCTTGAAAAAGGATATTAATTCTTACTAGAACTCCAAAAGTCTCTAAACCTGTTCTTGAGTCATCTCATCTCTGGGCAGATAAGTCATCTCTAAAAAGCTGCCAAGAGAGGACTGTCTATGTCAGATCCCAGGATTTTTGGTGGTCATTTTGGAAAGGACATTAATGGGAATGTTGTCATACTGAGTTCCCCCTCCTTCTGACATTCAGAAATCAACACATCTTCTTTTGATATTTTTCTTTTTCTCTTCATCTAGATTCCAAACTAACAACCATGCTTTATAAACACTAAAAACCTAGACTAAACAAATATACATGAATGTTTCCAGCTAACCTAACCAAATTTAAGCTGTGAAGAATTCAATGCTTGTTTTCCAAATTCCATTCTCTATTGGTTTTCTTCTTCCTATAAGATCAACCCTCCAGGAGAGGGCCAAGATTTAGGAACCCAGGTTCAATTATCTTGCAGACTTCAGCAATTTGTTGCTGCTATGTATATGTTGTTTGTTTTGCTTTTGTCCAGCACCATAATTTCTGTTTTTGATTGTTTGTTTGTCTTTACCTAGAACTGAAGCCACCCCAGTTCACTACTTCTTAATGTCACAGACCTGGCCCTTTACTCAAGTCTTAATTTCATGCTCTTATACCATTTAGATCCCCACTATGTCCCTTATCTCAACTATGGTTCTACAGTCCCTTCATGGGCAATGTTTTTTGAAGCTGGAGATTAGTATACCAATTGTAAATTTACAAGTCCCAAACCTGAATCCTAGGCCTCTCTACTGAGCTCTAGGTGCATATTCTCAACTTCTTACTAGATGTTTTGACTCCAAAACACCTCAGATGAAATACATTCAAAACTAAATCTATCATCTGATCCAAAGTTGTTCTCTTTTCTTTTCTAGTTAAGAGGGGGAAAAACTTGCAATAAGCAGTAGATATGCTCTAGAGTTCTGGTGCACATATAATCATCAAAATTGCTAATAAGAACCTTAATTATCCCAAACACCAAAAGAAATTATGTGACATAATAACGATGCTAACTATTGCTATAATGGCAATCATCTATAATAATAAAAGCAAAATATGCTGATTAGATGGGATAGCAGAACAACCTTTTAGAGAATGCCGCAGCTACAAGGACTAAGGCAGAGACAGCTGCAGTGGCTTCTAAGGCCAAGTCCCTTGCACAAATTTTGTACATCAGGCCTTTAGTTTATAATATATAAATTTATCAAATCAACATGCTGTACACCTTGAATTTGCAGAATGTTATATGTCAAATATATTTCAGTTTAAAAAAAAAAACATCGCCTACTTGATTGTTCTGGACAGGGAGTTGTTGGCTACATTCAAATTGAAATAATCAGATAATCCTTTTGATACAATCTTCTAAACATGCTAATTCTGTCTTCCTTTTCTCCATCCTGCACAATTCTTTATGTTCTGAGGCTATGTCTTCATTTATACCCCCAATAATATTTTCTTTTCTCAAAATGTGTGAATTGATCTACTGGTCACTGGTGGCTTTTAAATTAAAGTAACTTTAAACTTTACCCCCACTATTGATAGTTTTTCCAGTCATATACTAAATGTCTCTTTGAGAAGTTTTCCTTTATTTCAGGTTTTTTCAATATGCATCACTCAAATCCCAAAGGTCCTGGAAGGGGTTCAGTAAATGCTGAATTGCCAGGCTGTAGTCCTTCTATGCCAACAACCAGTCCACAGCTCAACCTGAGTTTCTCCTGAGAGGCTCTCATAAAGAATATGAGTTCTTTATTTTCATTCCTTCTTTCATATCAGATCACAGCTGACCCACTTTCAGTCAGTTATGAGTGAGTTTGAATTCCAGGAATGCTGTTTCCCTAAACCCAGGAGCTGCTTGGAATGGAGAAATAAATTATTTGGGTATCACTGGGTTCATCCAGTACCATCAATGCTTGATAACAGGACCTGTCCTTACCTCTTTCCTCTTATCACAATTTATTTTCTTTCTGATCAAGGCTCCTAAATCC